CTCTATGTCCCCTTAAGTGGGACGTTCAAAGAGCGGCGTTGTCGACCCTCTCTGTTTGGAGCTTAGTTTGTTTTTTGCAAAGGGGAGCTCGCGCGTATCAGATACGTAGGGCCAGCGATCAGGGGGTTGGGGGGCCTTCCCCTGTCACGAACAGAGCAGGGCGGATAGGGAGGTTGTGGCCCCGCCCCCTGTCACACACAGAACCGCAGGGTGATCAGGGGGTTTGGGCGCTGCCCCCTGTCATGCTGATCCCGGTACAGGGAGGCCTTGCTGCTCTGCTGATCCCGGTGCTGGGAGGCATATTACCCTTTTACTATATAGGAAAAGAGGGCCTGGTGCATGGGTAGGGGGCTGGCTGGGTTTGCCCCTGAAGGGTGTCCTGGATCAGGGGTGGGGGCCCCCACTGGGGTGGCCTGGCCAGTCTGGGTGAGGGGCTGAGGGCTGTTTTCCGGAAGCGGGTGACTGAAGCTCCCAACCGCTCCTTTTTTTCTTTTCTTTTTTTTTTTTTTTTTTTATTCTGGGCCAGCTTTAGCTCTGAGGCCTCGCTGCTGAAAACATCGATACAATGTTGCGGTCCGGCTGGCTGAAGCCCGGCTGAATGAAAGCCGGTTTCTGGGGTTTTGTTTAGCTTCTATATTTGCAACATAGTACATAGTTGCTTAGAGTTGCAGCTGAGAGGCCGGCAAGTGAGGCAGGGAACGTTGGAGTCCACCGTCACTGGAGCAAGCAAGCCTCCCTGCTTGCTTCAGTGCATGGCTGCCGGCCGCCATCTTGGCTGACAGTTAATTTCCATAAGGATATGCTGATTAGCCAATGGGAAGGGTAGCGGTCGTACGCTAATTACCATGTTTCTCTTTTATTAGTGTAGATATTGGTCAGATTAAGAGGAATTTGTGATCAGGTCAGTTTAAGACTTTGGCTTTATTTTACACATCTGAGGGGTGCAAAAACTCAATCCTGATGAAAACCTATGATTTGTTTCAAATATGGTTTATAGAACACTAGTTTGTTCTAAAAATTAAAAGTCTCCATTTTTACATGAAAAGTTCGGAATTATTTATTCAGAAAAATTGGGGATTTGCTGGTCATTTTAATTTTGCATAAAGTTTTAGAAACTCTCTAAGAAAGTAGAGCTTGGGATGTTGGGTGAGTGTATATTCTCCAAACATGAAAGATATAAGATCTGACAGTATAAACAACAAAAAATTATATAGAGTTTAAATAAATAAAGGTTTTCCGGGAAGCTATTAAGTGCCAGGCAATTTATTACCCACATGACCCTTATAATTCTATGTAAATAGGCATTACTCCAAGTACTGGATGTGCAGAAACAAGAGGTAAGAAGAGGAACTGCTGCTTCGTTACACAGCAATTAAGCAGCAGAGATTACTTTTAAGTCCTGACTTAAACTCTAGGTCCAGCGATGTCACAGCTGTCCCCTAGCTGCACACTTTTTGTTCAGGGATATCAGTTTGGCAGTAGGGCAATCTAAAAGCAATACCAACACTGGAGGTCAGGTCATATTAAGGGATGATGCTGGGAAGGAAGTATCCTTTCTTCTTAAACTAATGGAGTAACTTGTTAAGAACTATAAAGTCTGGATTCATACTAAATAGATGAGCAGGCAGTTTCGCTGCTCTCTTTTCTGAGACTGACATTACTTTTCAGTCACTAACATTGCATGTAACGGTAAAGTACGGCCACTTAGACTCATTTGTTCCTCAATAGGTAGCTCTGCAGGCAGGCAGGGGTACATGCATGTATTTTGGCTAAAATATACCTCTATCTAAAGTGACAATGTGGATACTGCAATAAAAGGGCATCGTTTTTAGTCCTTTAACTTGTCAGGATTTAATGTTATTAATATTTTTGCAGTTAAAAAAGCAGAAGCATCTTATATGTTATATATAGACAAGATAAATGTACCAAGTATTGCTGTAAACTCAATTTTTCAATCATAAATTAGAAATATAAATAAACTAATATTATTTCGTTATGGTCTTCCACTAATTAAATATGCTACTGAAAGATAAAGTTATGTACCAGCAGAATGAGATATACTCTAGTTATTCATAACTTTTGTAAGGGTATAAAAGAACTTTTTTTCATGGATTTGTCTCAAGGCACATACCTAGGTTGTGGTTCAGTGTATGAGAAGCAACCAGCTAATGTTTCTCTCTTCCTCTCTCCCTCCCTCTCTTTCTCCCCCTCTCTCTTTCTGCTTCCCTCTCCCTCCCCCTTCTTTCCCTCTCTCTTCTGTCACTCTCTCTCTCCCTCTTCTTCTCTCCCTCTCTCACCAATAAACATATCCTCCAGTGAGGACTTTAAAAAAGAAAAAAGTCAAATTTATTTTGAGTTCTACTTTTGATAAATGAAAAAAATCACAACTTAAAGTGGGTGGAAATTGTGTCTGTGCTAAAACACTCTATAGAAATGAGTGGCTGCTAATTACCTAGTGAACGGCACTGAAAGAAGTGTGTATGTAGCTTTACCAGTTAAATTAAAAAAAAAAAAAACAAGAGCTCTAAAAGAAGAACAGAGAAAGAAAAAGAGAGAGGGAAGGAGGTTAGAATAGAGCATCAATTTTCAACCGATTGTGCTGCAAGAATTTTTAAAAAATGACTATTTAGTCAGGGACACTGACCTGTTTTCCCTTATTTGTCAAATAAAAAAATGACAACAGCCAACACAACAATATCTTTCCAGAGTGAATGAATCAAAATTATACCTATTGTCAGATTTTTGGTGTGCCACAGAATTTTAGTAATTCGTTTATATGTGCATGAGATTTTAAAAAGTTGAAAATTACTGGAATAGGGGAAAGAAGGTAAAAAGAAGAAGGAGGAAAAGGGAGAAAGGGAAGGGAATAGAGAGAACAGAAGGGATGGAGGGAGAAGAGGGAAAACAATCAGAAAATTAGCTGAATACAGATAGCAAAATAAAGATACTGAAAAAAATGGGAATGTGGGCCCTGGCCAGTGTGGCTCAGTTGGATAGAGCATCGTTCCCTGCACCAAAGGGTCACAGGTTCAATTCCCATTCAGGGCGCATACCCAGGTAGTGGGTTCAATCCCCGGTTGGGGCTCATATGGGAGGCAACCAATTGATGTTTCTCATTGATGTGTTTTTTTCTCTCTTTCTCTCTCCATATAATCAATGAAAAACATATCCTCAGTGAGAATTTTAAAAAGGAATAATATAAATAAAATTTAAAACAGATGGGAAAGTGCCTAAAGCCAAAAAGAAGATAACAATTTACAAGTTCCAAAATGAAGAAAGACTAAGATTTGCAACTCTCTGAAAACTAGGAAACTACAACTAATTGACAGTCCTGAACTTTAGGACCAACATAGGCAGAGTGATTATATCTTCTATAGCCTCACAAATTAGGTTTATTGAAAATTAACAAAACTTTTTTAGATCCACAAAAACAAGTACATATTTTTCTATCTGTTCATGAGATGGAATTTTGTGTTTTCTTGCTAGCGGGAAAATTAGTCCTAAGGCATATACAAACACCAAAGCCAGAATTAAAAAATAGATGACTCATTAAATAGGAGCTCATAGACTTAACTGAGAGACTGGCTGAAGATTAACAGGAGAAGTAGGTAACTGGTACAACACTGCATAATAATTTCTCAGATAATTTTACTTCCCCAGGCTGCCTTGGCTTCAAAACTCTAACCTAACCTTGCCAAGCCAAAGTATTTAAATCCTACTTGGCAGAGTACTTGCCAAGCCAAAGTACTTAAATCCTACTTTTCTTCTAAGTTAATAATCAATTCAGAAAGAAGAATAACTGAGAAACCAAAGTGGATTGCCCTGTTTGGCACAACTAAATCTGTAATTAGTTGGAAAAAAAAGTATTACACTTACTCATACCACTGTTTATTGTGTTTTCGGTAAAGCAACGTATCCAAGGCAACAGCATTGACATCCAGAGCTCCTGGGGAAGGCCACTGGTTGGTGAGGTGGGCAGTTAACTCTTGTCTTGATCTTAAATCATTATTCTTTAGCACAGTCCTGTGAATATTAAGATGGTGAGTGCTTTTGTCTTCATTGTTCTGCAAGGGCAGAGGAACCTGCCATTAATGGTATCAATTTAGGCCCCCAAAATTCATCTTTTTAAAATGGTATGTTAATAGACTGTGACCAAAACTACGGGAAGGCTAGATGGGGCTAGGACTGTTTTGTTTCCTACAATATGTGTTTTTCATTCTTTCTTGGCTAGCTACAACAAATCACTTGTGACATTCAGACTTCCTACTATTTCCACAGAGATATTACTAGAATACTGATGGATGCAAGCTGCATTCTACATCTTAACTAAAAAACAATGGTGATATCTTAAAGCTACAGGTTATCAGATGCCAGTTAAAATATGAAGGAAAATAAAGATTCCATGTGTAAGATTTTATAGCTTCAAAATTCACAATCTATGTAAGTAATTTAACTTGATAAACAAAAAGAATTTAATGGATTAAAAATAAAATTAATGCAGAAAAATAAAAAATAAAAAATTCATGAGGTTCCCGTAATTGTTTTTGATAGAAGTGACTATTAATGAATTTTTATGAAAATAATGAAATCAATGACAACTGCATTGAACAGTATAATCCATTGGAAATATTTCAGCTACAGAATAAAAGCCATTATTACGACCCATGGTTTCCTTTCATATTTGTAGAACTGTTACTTGTTCATAAGAACTTGAAAAAGACTAGCTTTTTGCCAAAAATTTCAACTTCACAAACCAACTGGTCATTGTCACAAGACTAATTCAACATCTGAATTTGTGGTAAAGATCATTTAAAGGCATAATTATGTTTGCAAAGTTCTTATTCTACCTCTAAAAGACCTTAAAATACCACCTAAGGCCACCTGCGTTCTCCGACAGTAGTCCACACCTCTAGCATACCAAGATTCTGAGCCATCAGTTCAGATACGGAAGTAGTTCGTGCTTGCCACTAATTTTCAGCGACAATGACAGTCCTGTGTGGGTGGCAGTCAGTGGTGTGCTGGCAAGACAATCCTTCACATGAGAAAACCAACCTGCACCGCACCTCTGGCTATCAACATGCTTCAAATGGAATAACCCCACTTTATATGTCTCCAACAAGCTGCACACAAACATTTCTGATTTTACAGGATACCTGTGTGCATTTAAACATATTTGCTCTACTATGTCCACAAAGAAATATTATCTGACGTAAACACTAGCTTCTCTCTCAGAATGGAATACTACAAGTTAAACAAGCAGAAGTCAGAACTGCTTTGGCTACTCAGGATCATTTTGATTCCGTATAAATTTTAGGATTGTTTTTTGTTTCTGTGAAAAATGCCACTAGGATTTTGATATAGATTTCACTGAATTTGCACATCACTTCGCATAGTATGGAGATTTTAATAATATTAATTCTTCCAATCCATGAACACAACATGCCTTTCCATTTATGTTCTTAATCTCCTTCATCAATGTTTTCAGTTAAGGATCAAAGAGTTGTCCAGAATTGGAAGATGCTTATATAGCTTGTGAATACCCTAACTTCTTCATAATCTATACTAATAAAAAGGAAACATGCTAATTAGACTGGGTCGACTGGCCATCTTCCAGACGTCTGACTTCCTTCTGGACAAAGCCATGGTGGTGGGGGCCGAGGCAGAGGCAGTTAGGGGGTGATCAGGCCGGCAGGAGAGAGCAGTTAGGGGTGTTCAGGCCGGCAGGGGAGGGCGGTTGGGGACAAGATCAGGCTGGCAGGGGAGGGCAGTTGGGGGTGACCAGGCTGGCAGGGCAGGACAGTTGGGGGCAACCAGACCTGCAGGGGAGGGCAGTTGGGGGCAACCAGACCTGCAGGGGAGGGCCATTGGGGGCGAGATCAGGCTGGCAGGGGAGGGCCTAAACTGGCAGTCGGATATCCCCCGAGGGGTCCCAGATTGGAGAGGGTGCAGGCAGGGCTGAGGGACACCCCCCATGCACGAATTTTGTGCACCGGGCCTCTAGTGTTAATATAAAAATGTTCCTTATTTGTGTGCTTTTGTTTCTGTTAATTTTAGACCAAGCCATGGGGTAAACATTAACTTTATATTATTTTATACTTATTTCCCTTCAAATAAAACATTTTGAGAAAAAGCTTAAAAAGGAGCCAGGTAGCCAAAATCTGTAAATTATTTACCCATGAAATATTCCTGTCTCAAAAGTTAAACCCAAATCTAACTCTTTTAGAACAGCAGTGGTTTTCAACCCTAGTTGCACTTTAGAACTTAACTTTACATCTTCATTTGAAAAAGAAACATTGATGAGGCCCCAGCCAGTTTGGCTCAGTGGATTGAGCATTGGCCTGCGGACTGAAGGGTCCTGGGTTCAATTCTGGTCAAGGGTACATGCCCGTGTTACAGGCTCGATCCCCAACAAGGACATGCAGGAGGCAGCCAGTCAATGATTCTCTCTCATCATTGATGTTTCTATCTCTCTCTCCCTCTCCCTTTCTCTCTGAAATCAATAATATATATATAATGTTAATGAGAATGTAGAACTTAAAAAACAAATGGGTCATGTCAGCAGGATACAAGAATTAATATAATGAATTAGACAAATGTGGGACAATTTGAGTATGAAAAAGAAAAATAAATTTAAGTGATAGAAACACACTGAATATAGGCATTTCTTCTATAATACAGAAACAAAACACAACAGTGTTCTGCAATAACACACTGACGATAACTAGCCTATGGGGAGAATAGGGTTGGGAGCTGACAACTCAAAACCTATTTGACTTTTTGCTAGAACACTAAGAGGAACATTAATAATCCTAATAAAAGTTCAACCCAAATAAAATATTAAATTCCTATTAAATATTGCAATACCTTTAACAAAAACAATAACAAAGGAAAAGCCGTTTGATAAAAGAGGGTATAAGGAAGGGTTGAGGCTTGCCATGAAGGCAAGATCAAAATGCACAGGCACCTCCAAGCTGTAGTTCAAATTAACCAGAGGAATGCAAGGTGAAAGATTTTGTACAGGGAGAGAGCACCATCTTTTGGTTACTTGCAGTAATTGCCTGAATTAGTATATTTTGCATTGGCTGTTGCTACTTGTTGAGAAACATTAACTTCCAGATAACTATGAATCAGGTGATTTATTTGTTATGCTGACATCATCACCTTATTTATGAATCTTGAATGAGCTAATTTACATTATAGAATATATCATATATAAAAAGTTCATAAAATTCTCAAAAATAAAAGAGAGAAAGCGAAACAAAATCTTCATCTCTTTGGTAACTAAGTAGAGTGTTGGAATCTTATTCAGAAAATTAATAATATCCTATCAGAACTGTAATGGTAACCACCAAAAAGCTCTAAGTAATGAGGAAAAGCCCCTTTTTTGTAGATGATTCTGGCCAATAATCATGGGAGGAGTAACAATCAGGAAATTGCCATTTTATAAATCTTAATTAATCAACTGCTCCAGCAGTTTCTTGAGTTTAGAAGTTGAAGATATACTTTCCCATAGTACAGCTACAATCTCAGGATGGGTATAAATTGGTGTCTTAAATATTCCTTTGCACAAAAACTGTTACAAGAATACTGAACAGATGAGTAAGATCCATTTCCTTTAGATGTTCACAATTCACTTATCAGAATCATCTTTAAGTACAGAATACTTAAAGATGGGTATTTTTTCAGTGTGATGATGGCCAGAGGGAAAGGTGGGCGGGGGTTGGGTGGAGGTGGGCAAAGGGGGGAGGGAACATCTGTAATAGTGGCAACATTAAAAACAAAGTAAAAAAAAAAGAATTTATAAAACTCAACTCCCCAAAAAACAACAATCCAATTAAAAAACAGGCAAAGGACCTGAATACACACTTCTCCAAAGATAACATATAGATGGCCAAGAGACATATGAAAAGATGCTCAATGTCACTAATCATCAGAGAAATGCAAATTAAAACCACAATGATATATCACCTAACACCTGTCAGAATGGCTGGCTATAATCAATAAATCAAAAAATAAGTGTTGGTGAGGATGTGGAGAAAAGGGAACCCTTGTGTATAGTTGGTGGGAATATAGATTGGTGCAGCAGTATGGAAAGCAGTATGGAGTTTCCTCAAAAAATTAAAAATGGGCCCTAACCGGTTTGGGTCAGTAGATAGAGCATCGGCCTGCAGACTGAAAGGTACCAAGATTGATTCAGGTCAAGGGCATGTACCTTGGTTGTGGGCACATCCCCAGTACAAGGTGTGCAGGAGACAGCTGATGGATGTTTCTCTCCCATTGATGTTTCTAACTCTCTATCCCTCTCCCTTCCTCGCTGTAAAAAATCAATAAAATATTTTTTTAAAATGGAACTGCCTTATGACCCAGTGATTCCACTTCTCGGAATTTATATAAAGAAACCTGAAACACTAATGCAAAAGAATATATGCAGCCCTATGTTCATTGCAGCATCCTATATAATAAAAGCCTAATATGCAAATCGACCAAATGGCAGAACGACCAGTCGCTATGACGTGCACTGACCACCAGGGGGCAGACGCTCAATGCAGAAGCTGCCCCCTGGTGGTCAGTCCGCTCTCCCCAAACAGGGAGCCGCCACTCAGCCAGAAGCCGGGCTCATGGCTAGCAAGCACAGTGATGGTAAGGAGTGAGGGTCTTGGACTGAGAGAGCCCCAGACTATGAGAAGGATGTCTGCCTGCCAGCTTAGGCCCAAACCCCAGGGGATCAGGCCTAAGCCGGCAGGCAGACATCCCCGAGGGGTCTTGGACTGTGAGAGGGCATAGGCTGGGCTGAGGAACACCCCCCCCCCCACACACACACACACACACAGTGTATGAATCTCATGCACCAGGCCTCTAGTTATTTATAACAGCCAAGATCTGGAAACAGCCCAAATGCCCGCCAGCAAATGAGTGGATAAAAAAAGCTGTGGTACATTTACAAAATAGAATACTCCTTTCTGTAAAAAAGAAGGAAATCTTACCCTTTGTGACAGCATGGATGGACCTGGAGAGTATTATGATAGATGAAATAAGCCATTCAGGGAAAGACAAGCACCAAGTGATTTCACTCATGTGTGGAATCTAATGAACAAAATGAACTAACAAGCAAAATAGAAATAGATTCATAGACAGAGAGCAGGTTGACAGCTGTTGAAAGAGCAGGGGGTAGGGGGTTGGGCGTTGGGTGGGGGTCCTAGAGGTATTGAGGGAAAAAAGAGAGAAAATACTCATGGACATGGATGGGTGATTGCCAGGGTGGGTGGAAGGGGAGAGAGAAGATGGAGGAAGAAACAGGGAGATAAATGGTGGTGTACAGATGATGTATTATGGAATTGTGTACCCGAAATCTGTGGAATTTTGTTAACCAGTGTCACCCCAATAAATTCAACAAACATGGAAAAAAGGAAAATATCTTGCTGGTTAAATAAAAACTGGTTTCATAATTATTCTTATATTAAAACAATTTAGACAAACTACCAAGATTATTTGTAAAAGGAAGATTAAATCACCTTAATCTTTCCATTGCAAAGAAATAACCAGAAATCTCTATTGTTTGGCTCTTGATATTTTTTCCCCCTGCTTACAGAAGCAAGGGGCTACAGAAGGTGTTACTCTGCCCCTAAATGAGTCATACTCCACTGGACAATTAGAAAAAATATAAGAAACTTTCAAATATTAGAAAAATATAAGAAACAATATATGAACACAATTCTTTTCATCAACATACAAATTCCTAGATAACACTAAATTTGTATGTTCCTTCATAAAACTTTTTTACTTAAAAATCATCTATTATATTTACTTAGTTTCCTTGCAAATTACAAGTTAATTACAAAAGAAACAACAGTAACTATACAGAAGAGAAAAACATCTTAACCTAATGATTAAAATTAATAGCACTACTAAAAGGCCAATAACAGACCTCATGTATCTCTGGATGTGATGTCCTGAGGACACACCACTTAGGTTGTAATCCTGCCACAAATGGATAAGCTCATTCTAATCATAGGGAAGAACAAAAACTAAAATCAAGGGACATTCTACAAAAATTACTAGGCTGTATTCTTCAGAAATACCAATCTCTTGTAAGACAGAACATTGAAAAACTATTCTAAGTTAAAGTGATTGAAGAGACCAACAACCAAATTCAAAACATGATCCAGGATTGGATCCTTACTAGAAAAACAAAAGTTGCAATAAGGGACATTATTTGGACAATTGATGAAAGTGAAGTATGAGTTATAGATAGGATAAAAGCATTGTATCAATTTAAATGTCTTAAGTTGAAAGCCGAACTATGGTGATGTAAGAGAATATCTTTGTTATTAGGAAAGACACATTGAAATATTAAGAGGTAAAGAGACATGTATGCAACCTCTCAGGTGGTTTAAAAAATAATGTATCTGTCTGTATATATAGGGAGAAGGAGAGAATGAGCACAAATGTGGCAAAATATTGAAAACTGGTAAATCTAACCCTAGCTGGTTTGGCTCAGTGGATAGACCATCAGCCTGGGAACTGAAGGGTCCTGGTTTGATTCCGGCACATGCCTCGGTTGCAGGCTCGATCCCCAGTAGGAGGCGTGCAGGAGGCAGCCAATCAATGATTCTCTCTCATCATCAATGTTTCTATCTCTCTCTACCTCTCCCTTCCTCTCTGAAATAAATAAAAATATATTTTAAAAAAAGAAAAGAAAACTAGTGAATCTAGGAAAAAGCCATATGGAAATTGTACTATCCTTGCAACTTTTCCAAAAGCTTAAAATTATTTCAAGAAAATTTTAAAAATCCTTTAAGATTAAGTAAATATTAATATGGAAGATTTTCACTATAAGCAATTAATTGACAAAATCAAGTGTGACAAAACGGTATTATTAGTACAAGTGCTTTGAATAGTGACAAGTTAAGGAGCTTGTACCAGAATGTAGATCAATACACAGCTTCCTCCATTGAAGGAAGTCTGGCTAGAGAAAAGTTAGCTATACTGAACTGTGCTTAGTAATGTTCTGGAAACAAGAAGTTTATGCAGTGGCACTGCTCTTTTAGCAGCACTGGTCTTATATTCCATATTTCTACAACCGCTCAATCAATCAATAACTAAATAAGTGCTTTTAAAATTAAACATATGCTTTTGAAAGAATCCAACCAAATTATATTAGTTAAGTCTGGGTAGCACAACTGAAGGTAATTTTTGTTTTCTTCCTATATTTTGTAATGTTTCTACAATGAGCATGGATTACTTTTATAATAAGAAAAACAAAAGTAAACTTTCAAAAAAAGTAAGTGCAAGGGAACATAATAGCAGGCGATCTGATTTCTTGGAATTTGAATCTTATGTTAAAACATGTTATGTTAAAACACTTAGTTATGTTCATATACTGCCAAAATTTTTCCCAAAAGGATCTCACTTACAACTGATCTTGCAGCTCCACAATTATATATTCTAATTGTTCCTTTTCCAATTTATGGGCCAGATCAGAATCTTCAATCCTTTGTAGTAGTATTTTATTCTGGGAGACAGATTCAGACAGCTGGTTCTCTCGAAGTCGTAAGAGTTCTTCAAGATAAGCCTGGAAAGATCAGCAAGATACAGCCAACTATAAAATTCTAATATATTTTGAAGACAAATGCTAAATAGCTTAAATGTTAGTCATATCTATATTGTAGTAAAACTTTTTTATAGTATCACTGATAAAACAGTAAAAATAATTTTTTAATTTAGTACAAAAATTTAACATATGTGCGTTATTTAAAGCTCTTCTCTAAGGTTCATTAAAATGCATTTGTAATTTAAGGTAAAACTTAGTTAAAACATTTTCATTTCTAAGCTCTGCAACAATAAATAACATACTCAGTATGCCTCCTAGTTTCAGAATACAGACTTAATCACAGATTGACCAATTAAGAAACTGCCTCTATGTGATTATTCTTTCAAAACAGATATTACCATTTTAGCTTTAACAAATTAGTAGGAAGCAGTACAATGTTTTGACGAGGCCTGCAGGTGCCTATATAGTCCAGGTCTACTAGCTAACAGCTATGTATCCTGGTCAAGTTACTTAATCTCTCTGTGTCACAGTTTCATCATCTGAAAAAGTGAGAGCTTTAATCTTCCTAGTTGGGAAGATTAAACAAATCAGTCTAGGTAGAGTATTACCTGCTACACTGAATGCAATGCATAATTCCTAGTTATTATTATTAGGAAACACCAAATAGATATAAGCCTTCTTGGGCTGATCTTCTGTCAGTTATTTTTTACCCATTTACAATTTCTTTGTCCTTTTGCTCTGTTTTCTGAAAGACTTCATTGAATTTATCCTTCAAACCCTTATACTGGATTTTTTAATTCAGGAAATCTTGATTTTAATTTCCAACAGCTCTATCATGTTGTCTGGTGATGCCCTTCTCATGACATCCTACTTTTTAGCTACAATGTGCTTACAAATTCCTCTCAGGATATTAATTAGAATCTTTTTTTCTTAAAGTATTCTTCTAGCCTACTATGTTATCCCATTCATTTGTCATTAACAAAGTCTTTTAACTAGTTTAGCTTTATGATACACTAGAGGCCTGGTGCAAGAAATCGTGCACGGGGGCAGGGGGGGGGACCTTAGCCCAGCCTGCACCCTCTCACAATCTGGGACCCCTCAGGGATGTCCGACTTCCAGTTTAGGCCTTCAGGATTGGGCCTAAATAGGCAGTCAGACATCACTCTCATAATCCAGGACCGCTGGCTCCTAACCACTCGCCTGCCTGCCTCATCGCCCCTAACCACTCGCCTGCCTGCCCCATCGCCCCTAACTGCCTGCCTGCCTGCCTGCCTCATTGCCCCTAACCACCTCTGCCTCAGCCCCCGCCACTGTGGCTTCGTCTAGAAGTACATCTGGAAGGTTGTTCGGCTGTCCGGTCTAATTAGCATATTATGCTTTTATTATTATAGATGTTAATAGAAGTTAACACTATTCTCCCCTCATTAAGCTTCCTTTTCAGATTTTCCCATGACAATTCTCAAATAGTTTTTCCATAATAAAATTTCAAACATTAAAATTAATTTTTACAAAGGAAGTATTGTATATGTCACACCGCTTAATATATAAATTATATACAAATATTTATAAACATTAGTAATTAAATGCAACTTATGTACCCACAATCAAGATTAGCAAAACATTTAAGCCCCTATAATGCCTTTCCCTAATGATACCCCCTGCTTTCGCTACACAGATAACAACATCCTGAGATCTATGTTTATTATCTCCTTACTATTCTTTCTAGCTTTACCACAAATGTATGTTGTCTTAAAATAGTTTTGTTGAGATTTGTCTATATTCTTTTGACACTGGCTTTTTCATCTACAATGATGTCTTGCTTTCAATAGTGAATAGTATTCCATTGTATGAATACTGCAGTTTATTTACTTACTTTCCTATCAATGACCTTTTTGATTGTTTTTAGCTTTTTCTTAATATAAATAATATACAGTGAACACTCAGTTATATGTTACCTGGTACAAACATCTAAGAATTTATAGGAAATATGACTAGGAATAGAATTGCTGGGAATAGAGCATGCATTACCTTTACATTTACTAGATAATGCCAAATTGACATATTATTGTTTTTATACTAATCACATTCCCAACTGATATTCATTCTTTGTGTGTGTGTGTATGTATGTGTGTATATGTGTGTGTGTGTGTGTGTGTGTGTGTGTGTGTGTGTGTTAATCCTCACCCAAGGGTATTTTTTCCATTGATTTTCAGAGAATGGAAGGGAGGAGGGAGAGAAGGAGGTTTTGTTAATTCTGTTTCTCTGTTTATTTAATTAAAATCTGTGCTTATTTTTTTTCCTTTGGAACTGATTTTTTTGGTCTACTTCTTAAATACTTATCTCTTTAATTTTCCTACTTTCTTTTCTAAGTTAAGTACTTCTACAAGTACTGCACAAAGTTGTAACTTAAAATTGTCAGTATGCATTTTTTTCATTCTTATTTACTCATTCCTTTTGACACATAATTTAGAAGTTTTATTTTTTAAATTCCCATTGGTGGTCTACAGGTGGTGGTAAACATATTGTATTGAATCTAACTTTACTGCACTATGATCACTATTATATCATTTCTTTGGTATTTGTGGGCATTTGCCTTGTGACATAATATGCTCCATACAAATTGAATAGCTGTCCCATATATGCTTGAAAAGAATGTGTATTGTTAGCATTTAACAAAGTTTAGATCAAGCTTTACTAATTGTGCTGTTCAAACTCACTACATCCTTACTAATATTTTGTCCATTGAATCTGTAAATTATTTTGTAGATGTTAAAATTTCCTACTCTAATTATGGATTTGTCAATTTCTCCTGGACAATCTATTAATTTATGCTTCACATTTTTCATGGCTACACTGTTACATTATGTAAGTTCAGTGCTGTTATACATTCCTGGTGAATTCTTTTTTTACAAAGACAATGTCTTTTTTTAGTCTTAATGCTTTTTGCCTTAATGTCCACGTTGGATAACATTAATACAGAATTCCTGTGGTTAAGTTTGCCTACTATATTTTTATCCTCTTAGTCTCAACATTTTTGTGTCTTATTTTATGTATGTCTCTTACAGACAACATATAACTAAAATTTATTATTATAAAATAAAGAGTTTGTCTTAAATGACAAGTTTATGCCATTTACTTTGATGGTGATGTTGAGTCAGGTGGTTAGATTGAGGTTTATTTCTACACTTTATCTGGTGGTGCCACCTTTTTTTCTTCTGGTGATACCATCCTTTATAACATCCTTATTTTTTCTCACTTGCTACTTTCTATTGTAATAATAAAATTTTCCTTATTTGTCTTATCACTATTAGTTTGAAAATTAAATATTCTACTTTTAATCACAACTTTGGAAACAGGCTGGCACATTAAAATCTGTGTCTACCCTTTTCACTGTAACACAAAGACCTCAAATGGCTTTAGCTTCAATCATCCTCTCTTACCTTTTCTAATATTGTTAGAGTTTTAGTCCCACTTTGCTACCCAGTGGTGGGCTGCAGATAGCTCTCAAGAGCTGATTATGGAATTTCAGAAATTTTGAAAACACGGCAATTATTAAACATTAAATTATATAGACATAACTAAGTAAATTATATTAAAAACAAGGAAATAACCACTCAAAACTCATCACTTCCTAAGTATTTTTGAATACTTTATATCTTCTATTGTCTGTGCTCCTAAGGTCATTCCTGTCTGTTGAATCTGTCTGATAGAATGCTATACAGTGGCGTGCTATGGTGCATCTTTTCCCAGTTCTGCATTTAGGGATATCACATTGGTAGCTTTAACTTGGCCATGATGGGATTACTTACCCCATAGAATCAGCAAATGGTACATACCAGGGCTTCTCTATTTCCTCTGTGAAAGTCAGTTGTTAAACATATTTCAACCCTCCAATGCCACCCCATATTGGCCATTAATATAGTAGTTTTTGTTTCATGTAGTCCAGATTTATTTGCCAATTTCTATGGTTAATCTGTCATTTTGCATTTCACTCCTGCCTACCAGGTTCAGTTTCCATCTTCAATGATAGTGGGCCTAGGTCCACTGTTCCCCTGTATTAAAACACATGCACCTAGGCCAGCCGGCATGGCTCAGTGGTTGAGCGTCGCCCATGAACCAAGAGGTCATCAGTTCGATTCCCAGTCAGGGCACATGCCCAGGTTGTGGACTTGATCCCCAGTAGGGGTGTATGTTTCTCTCTCATCGATGTTTCTATCTCTCTCCTTTCCTCCCTCTCTAAAATCACTAAAAATATATTAAAAACAAACAAAACAACAACACATGTACCTAAGTTAAGGGAATGGTCTTTGTGTTCAGGTCATTAGTGAGCTCCTATTCTTTGAGAGAGCAGCTCTGCATGAAGCTATTTTAAAATTGTATTCTGCTCAGCATTTTCGTATTTTTACAATGCAAAGGCTTTCAGGTGATCTTAGTATGAAATCTTGCTGGTATGAGAAGTCTTCTTTAATAGGGTATGAAAGTTTTTTCCATATACATTAGGCACAGTTTTATAGCTATTATAAATGGAATCTTTTTCTTTATGTTTTCTAACCAGTAGCTGTTGGTCTATGTAAAATCTATTCATATTTGTAAATTTACTTTGTAAGCACTTTCCTCAGTGTATTTTTTATTGTTCCAATACTTCTATTAATTCCATCAGGCTTTTCCTATATAGACTATTTATGAATAATGATAATTTGAAAGGAAAAAATAGATAATTCAATAAAAAAAGTTGCAACTACTCAAGATAATGGAGTTTCTTTTCCTTTCTGCTATATACTCTATTTTGCCAAGTGCAGTGTCTGATATACAAGAGCTTCTAAAATAACTGATTTAAAAAGGACAAATGAGACATATATGGACTTAGGCAATTACTGCTTTTTCACAAACCCAGTAATATTTTATGAAATTAGTCATAGGAACTAAAATCTCAAATATATAAATAAAACTGCATAAAGAAAAATAAATGGCTGATTTTCATATTACAACATAAAATTAGAAAATGTTTAACAAACAAAAGCCTTTCCTAAAACATTCCTTGATTTTTAATTAACAAGAGGATAATTCAAGAACAGAAAGGAAGGAGCGAGGGGCAAACCCTTTCATTCAGCTGTCTCTGTCTTTTGGCAGAGACAGTCCAAAGGCAATACAGAGAACAGGATTAAATGGCTGTTGACACTGACTGATACCTTCTGTTCCAGGGTGAGCTGGTACTTCTGTTTAACTCTCTTACACTTGTTGAACCACGTATTCTCGTCCATGATGAAAGGAGGCCCCACGTTCTCAGGAGAGCTGCTCTCACTGCCACTGCTTCCCAGCGTCCTCAGCTCCTCCTCATCACTGCTGATACTGTCAGAGCTGGGAAGATTGAACGTTTAAAAAGAAAGTTAATACTGTGTTCCACTTTGATTTTTAAGAAATACTTCAGTATTTTCAAGCTACTGGTGAGTAAACTCTAAAATATTTAACACTAAATATACCATTATAATTAATTATAATATAAAGACTTTAGTTTCTTGAAATGCCTTAACATTTTTTAAATTTTTCTGTAATGAATATGTATTTTTTTAAGTTTTGTTTAATTGCTTAAAGTATTACAAAGAGTAGTACATATGTCTCCTTGACCTTCCCCCCGGCCTCACCTACCCCCAGTGTCTTGTGTCCATTGGTTATGCTTATATGCATGCATACAAATCCTTCGGTTGATCTCTTATCCCCCTCCCTCCTGCCCCCCAACCCTCCCCAACCTTCCCGCTGTAGTTTGACAGTCTGTTCGATGCTGCTCTGCCTCTGTATCTATTTTTGTTCATCAGTTTATAATGGTCTTTATTATCCATAAATGAGTGAGATCATGTGGTATTTTTATTTCATCAACTGTCTTATTTCACTTAGCATAATGCTCTCCAGTTCCATCCATGCTGTTGCAAATGGTAAGAAATTCCTTCTTTTTTACAGCAGCGTAGTATTCCATTGTGTAGATGTACCACAGTTTTCTAATCCATTCATCTACTGATGGGCACTTAGGCTGTTTCCAGATCTTAGCTATGATAAATTGTGCTGCTATGAACATAGGGATGCATATATCCTTTCTGATTGGTGTTTCTGGTTTCTTGGGATATATTCCTAGAAGTGGGATCACTGGGTCAAATGGGAGTTCCATTTTTAACTTTTTGAGGAAACTCCATACTGTCTTCCATAGTGGCTGCACCAGTCTGCATTCCCACCAGCAGTGCACGAGGGTTCCTTTTTCTCCACATCCTCTCCAGCACTTGTCATTTGTTGATTTGTTGATGATAGCCATTCTGACAGGTGTGAGATGGTACCACATTGTTGTTTTGATTTGAATATGTATTATTTTATGCAGTAATTTGAGGAGAGACTGACTCTGAAGGTTTCTTAAAAATAGGAACCTAATAGAGTTTTTTAAAAATGTGTTGAGCCAAGACCGGTTTGGCTCAGTGGATAGAGCGTCGGCCTGCGGACTGAAGGGTCCCAGGTTCGATTCCGGTCAAGGGCATGTATCTTGGTTGCGGGCACATTCCCAGTGGGACATGTGCAGGAGGCAGCTGATCGATGTTTAACTCTCATCGATTTTTCTAACTCTCTGTCTCTCTCCCTTCCTCTCTGTATAAAATCAATAAAATATATTTTAAAAAAAATAAAAAATAAAAAATAAAAATGTGTTGAATACATGTATATTTGGTTGGAAGCAATTAAATTTTTAAAATATTGGGTCAGTTAGAATAGTTTAAATATTTTTAAAATGAAAAACTATGGTCAGAAATAATAACTGGTTAGTGCCTAGGTTGAAGTGGCATTTCCCTTTTCATTTCAGTGTCTGTTATATAACAAGTTGGTAGGAAGCCTTTAGTACATAAAGGAGAGAAACCTATATGTACATTTTTGGATTTGTGCATCAAAGAAAGAAAGTTGCATAAAAATTCAGGAAAAAAGTGGTTAAACAGTTGAGGATGCAGAGTAAAATCATTAAATCCATTCTGAGGGCACTAATTGAGAAGGTTCCATAATTATATCTTTTAAAAAGCCTTGTAATAATTACTATAGCTTTTATGTAAGAGAGGCAGATTAGTATTTACATTTAACTTTATATCTTAATTTAAGTCACTTCCTAAATCACAAGAATAGCCTTTCCATCTTCATGTTGATGGCCAACCTCCTATCTCTAGCTGTGATCTTGCTCTTTAATTTCAGACTTGTGGCCCCCTTTGCACAAACTCACTGTGTGACTGTGGACAAGTTATGTAACCTTTCTATGTTTCAGTTTTCTCATTTCTCACTCCCTTTTAGGGATTAATGAGTTAACAGAAGTAAAGTTCTTAGAATAATACATTCAATAAATATTACTACTATCACTTTACTAGTATTATTTTGAACTATTCATTATCTTCACAAAAGGTACTATAACTCAACATATCCCAAAACAGTATAATATTATGCCTATTCAAAACATCTTATTGCTGTACTTTTCAGGCTCTAATGTACTAGATTCTAGTATAGAATTATCCCTTTTCCTAAGGAATCCACTAACTTAAGTTAGAAAGCTTGGCACCATGATACTCTATGTATCCTTCTCCCTCAGCATCCAAAATATCTTCCCACTCCTAGCTCTGAAATAATAGTGACTTCTCTCGCTAGATGATTATTTTGGGGACAAGAAATGTATTATTTTTCAGAAGTTCATGAAGTTTCTATACTCTCAACATCTATGTTTTTTCCTACATTAGGTACTCCATAAATAACACATCGTGATTGTGTGTGTATACATTGCATTACTTTCACTTTCTGTCTCTTTCCCTTACAGCTCTGGCCTAATTATAACATTTTAGAAGTATGTAAAGATCATCGTTCTATTCAGGAAATCAATAAGTGAAGGCAGACCATCAGAAAAATCTATGGATTTCATTTGATTAATTTTCAATGCTGATGAGATTATGGGAATTCCATAACTTTCACACAAGACTGGTAATTGGTACAACTCTTTTATAAAAGTGGACTTTAAGAGCCATAAATTTTTTGTTGTATTTACCTGAATAACTCTGTAAATTCAAAATAGAAATAAAAAGAAAATTGATTTGCACAAAAATGTTCATTATTCTTGTCTTTATAATGAAGATAAAATGAAAAACAGTCTAAATAATTAATTACAGTTTTAAAATCTCAATGGATGATTACAGAGCAATTAGATTTATTATAATAACTACAGCAAAAAATACATGTACTTTTTAAAAACTACATATATGCTGGGATTACAATTATATAACAAGTGCATACTTATATAAGTACTAAAAATGCAACTGGAGTTTATATTTATGAATGATTTCTGATATGAAATGTTTTATAAAAAATAATTTTAATCAGATGAATATATTGTGCAACAAGACATTTAACAATAAATTTGGATTTCAAGAACATATTTCTAAATGTCAAATACCTTTGGGTAAACTTCAAATATGGTGTGTAGTCTATTACAGCAGGAAAGCATCCATCCAGTCCCTCTCCCTTTAGGCAGAAGCTAAGACAACAGACAATAAATATCCATATTCATATACAAAATTTTAAATCAAAGTTAAGTGTTATAAACAATCTGTTAGAGACATTTATTTCATCAAATTGTAGGTAACATTTTTTGTTTGTAATTTAAATGTTACTTGTTACAAATAAATGTCTCAATAAAGATATTTTACTTTCAATCTAAATGACAAAGAACTGTACAAGTTAATACTGTTACATAAACATATCACACAAAAGTAAAATACAGGGTGTCCCAAAAACTGGATATACATTTTGTCAGCTGATTCTATTATATTTTGGAAATGAAATGTATTTTAATAAATACTGCCTTTATAAGTATTCAAAGTGTGTATACATTTTGGGGGGATACCCTGTATACTGAGAAATCTTTTCAAACATCATTTCATAAACCTTTTAAGATTTAACTAGAGAATTTTCAAATGAAGATTTGTTCATACAAGTTCTCAGGTGACACTAAGTATTCCTACAAAGATCTGGAAAATTAGAAAACGAGGGTTTTTGCCTTTGAACATAATGCCCCAAGCAGCAGGGAATGTGTGGCCCAGGCCTGCAGCCTGCCCACCGTTTGCCTGGAGCCTGAGAACGGGGCTGTCTAGGTACACACTGGCCTCATCTGCTCTCAGTGAGTAAATTCACAGAGAAACATGAATAGATAACAACAGAAGATTATATTGAAACAATGGAAATCAGCAGTTTCATATAGGAAGCTTTGGGAGATGTCGTTTATTATAGTCTGCCTGAAATTGGGACAAAACTGAACAAACAAGATGACCTTGGTGCTTTGGAAAGTGTGAAAGGTGACAGCAAACTCTATTCTCCTCTATCAGAAGTAACTGAAATTAATGAAGTCTTGCAGAAAATCCAGGATTTGTTAGCAAATCTTGTCATGAAGATGGTTGGCTTATCTGCAGAACCAGATAAACCCATGAGTGAAGAAGCATGTGAGAAATACATAAAATCTATTGAGTGAAAATGGAAACCCCCTCTCCCTAAATAAAGTAGTATAAAACAACTTTAATGAAAGAAAGAAAGAAAGAAAGAAAGAAAGAAAGAAAGAAAGAAAGAAAGGAAGGAAGGAAGGAAGGAAGGAAGGAAGGAAGGAAGGAAGAAGGGTCCCAGATTGGAAAGGGTGCAGGCCAGGCTGAGGGACGCCCTCCCCCCCCCCCATGCATGAATTTCGTGCACCGGGCCTCTAGTCTATACACATAAGCAACCATTACCACTGGTCGACCAAATGATGGTGGCTATGATGTGCACTGACCACCAGGGGGCAGACGCTCAATGCAGGAGCTGCCCTCTGGTGGTCGGTGTGCTGCCACAAGCCAACCTCCTATGGCCGGCCAATCTCCCTCGGTCACCCCCCACCCCCGGGGGCCGGCCCCGACTGGCCCTGATCGGGACTGGGTGAGAAAACCCAGATCAGCCCCAATCACCAGTCAGGTCAAGAGACCGCACTCATGCATGAATACGTGCACCAGACCTCTAGTATTGTAATAACTGTGCATGGTGCCAGTTGGGTACTGGCAATATCAGGGGCAACACTTTGTAAAGTATATGATTATCTAACCACTATGCTATACACTTGAAATGAATACAAAATAATATTGAATACAAACTGTAATGAAAAAAATTTTAATTAAAAAAATTTACATAAAAATAAAATAAAACATTTAAATTTTTAAAAGAAAACAAAGATTACTATTATCAAAAAGAAAAAGTATATCTTCTAGCAAGATAAAGAAATATTTAAAAGATGCAGATTGATTTTTCAAAAGAAAAAATTCACCTATGAACTCCTACCTCCTGGTTTCTTTGGGAAATTTGTAGAAATACTTGTTCCAATATATTAACATCAAGGGCATTCATTTTTTCCAGATTTAAATAAAGAGAATTAATTTAGCAACATTTTATATGGGTTTCCCTTCATTTAGAGAAACGTTACTAATGTATCTTTAAGATATTTGTTTTCAGCTGATTATATAGTATCAATGGGTTCCAATAAATCATTCTTCTCCCAGGTTGTTGTTTTTTAAATGAAAAAATAACATTGTAAAGGATTTAGACAGAGCCAGCAGCATGCCCTATAAAAAGCTGACACCCTTAGAGGGATCATAAGACAACCTCCATATTCCACCCATCATGTTTATCCTAAACAATTAAGCTAATTAACCTAATACTACTTTATTAAAGAAAATTTTAAAATGACAAATATTTTGAAAAGGAAGTGATTTACTAAAAAAAGGTAACCTCAGTGAAAATGGGCAGCATTATTTTTAAATTAAAGACCTAAAAGTAGATTTTAATTTAAACTTATTTTAATAATATTCTTGGATTTTAAGTGATATATTTAAATAAAAATATAATATTTCCTTCATTCTTATGTTTGAGTTCTTGTTATAGATGAACCTTTTACTTTCAGTATAATGTAAAATCTTAGATGAGTTAAAGAAATGCAAAAGGATGCTTTCATAAATCTAAAAAGAAATTACAATGTCCCTTTTTAGTGCTTGTAATCTTAGTCTGAAATCAATTCATCTTGTTGATAATCAAAGTAAATATTAACAATATGTTTTATATTCTAGATACTTAACACAAGAAACATAAGACATCCAAGATATCCTGTCCGGATTTTCTTTATCTCAATACATGAAATAATAAAAATCTTTCTAGCTTTGAATCTACTTTTAGTGTCTTTCTTTTCATTTTAAAGCAGTAGTTGAAAAATAATAAGAGATAAAATCCAAAACCTTCCTTCAGTTGTACCGGAGTCCATGATTTTTCTGCTTGGGGAATGTAGTCTAAGCTTTCTTTTTACCCAAACTGGACAGCAAGCCTGTAAGTTAATTCCTAGAACTTGAGACAATCTCTTCCCTGAGAGCAAACCGATTTGGAAAAAGGTTGTCATTTAAAAGGGAACAACATGAATCACATATCAATATCCAACTATGTGCTTTTCTTAGAAAATTGAAAAGAAAAAATCATAAGTAGAAACCATCTAAGGTAGCATAATTTAAAACTGAATACATTTAGGGAGGTTTAAGTACCTGAAATCAATAGCATTGAGCCCAAGCAGCATGCCAGCAAGCATATTTGCTTCCTCACCCAAGACAATTGCTCCATCTTCATAAAATCTTCTGAAAAATGAAATGGGTGAATACATAAATATTAAAAACAGGCAAGTTTCATCTAGAGAAATCAGAGCCCAAGGTAAACTAGAAAGAACTAAATTGTATTTAGTTTGTCAAAATAAAAACATAATTGGGTCACCCAACTCTTACAGATATTTAGGGGGGGGGACCATCACCATAACAACAACAAAAATCATTCTAAGTGTTTCCACTTCTCTTAAAAAGAAACCCCAAAGTGACTCTTTAAATGTGCCTAGACTGCCTAGCATTTTTCCCAGTAGTGAAGCAATATAAAGGTACTAGTAATCTGAAAAGTGGCACATTCACAATCATTTATACTAGTCTTTTTTTCAAAACTAGGTAGACTATTGTTCTATACATGGGACAAACACAAACATACATTACGTTTTTCTGTAATTCCAAAGGTTATTACCTAAATTAAGAAATAGGAAGGTGTGATCATTAGTAATTTATGCTAACCTTTAACACTGGAATACTAATGGGGCAGATGGGCTACCAAAGTGACTGTATATGAAAAACAAAATTTGACAAAATGTGAATATTAATATTCTTGCTAATTCTTATAAGTCCTTCTGTTTTGACTAATGTTAGTTTTTAAAGTATAATTTTATTGTAAAATAAATATTTTTTTAAAAATTGTAATATGGGACTTATAGGTATTTTTCCACAAAATAATGTAAGATAACTGAGAATATACTATGCAAAAACTAATTTATGTTTGGTAACCAGGGATCCTTAAATTGTTACACCTATTTACATTACACATAGACAATGAACACTAAGATATAACACCCCACCCATTTAGTAAAAGATATGTGTCCTGCTTTTTTCCTGTATTTGAGTTTTTAAAGGCTGAAAACGATTTTAGTATGTTCATAATTTCACCATCAATTTTTAAGAGTTCATGTTTTAACAAATACTTTTACAAACACATCTTTTGATACTTGCAAAAAAAGCCCATGAAGTAAATGCAAAAGGAATTGCCAATAGTTTCAAATTCACCATCAAGAAAAGAGGTTAAAACAACTTCCCAAGCTCATGTTGATAAACTTCTCAAGGAAAAAAAAACACAAAACAATTCTTTTTACTCTAAGTTCTATATATTTTCTATTAAATATATTCTATTTCTTGTAAAACAAAAATATAGAGAATTTAACTTCTGTCATGGTTTGTAAGGAATTTTAAATGAATAAGAAGTAAAAGGAAAATAAGAGACAACTATTCACCCTCTAATAGATGTAAGTCTGCAAACAAATATGGTAGGAAGACTAGCTTGGAATAGATGTTTGGTGTTTTCCTTGAAAATATGGGAATTGCTATTATTGACTTATATAAAAGAAGGAAAACCAAAACTTTTAGCCTACCAAAGATTAGTAAAGTAAATGGAAGGAATTTCTACATATTCAATTGAGGTGTTCCACAAAAAGGTAAAGATATTTAGATAAATCTACATATATGAGATTTTATCCCACCACAATGGCTAAATTGGCTGTTGACAGAATATTTTATTAACTCTTGGAAGAACTATGAATCCAAAGGTTCTAGATCAACAAATTCTACAGGACATATGCTTTAGAAAATAATTCTGGTTTTTGATACTGGGAATAACCCATTATTCCTAGTATTTCCCTATATAAGGAAAGGTCTACCATTTCTCCATCTTGAGCCCACCGTGTTTAAAGTACATTTTAAGAATTAGATCACAACTATTCTTGCTTGCTTCCTAATGTCAGCATTGTATTAGAGACTGTTTAAGAATCCCAAAAACAATCACAAACTATCTGGTTTTAGAGATTTTTTTTTTTAAGTCTAAAGGTCTTTTATGTGTGTATATAATACTGTTATAATGAGGGGATTTTTGCATCTAGTTTTACTAATGATTTTTTAAACTAACCAGTGAAATGCTTGCTATATGTGAAGTCAATAATTCCACTAAAATAAAACCTTACGTGAAGCATAATACTGTGCAGACTTGATTTAGATCAACAGTCTTACTGCAATAGAGGGGAGGGGATAACAAATGGAAGAGGAAGGGTTAGTTAAGAGAATTGTCCATTGTATGCTGAACTTTTTCATTATTAGTTCTGGTTGAGAAAAAAAACAAACTTGTGATGGCCAAAGGGAAGGGGGTTTGGGTTGGGTGGAGGCATGCAAAGGGATGGGGCAGGGGAGGGGAGATAGGGACATCTGTAATAGTGTCAACAATAAAAATAAATAAAAAAAGCTTGCTCAGAAAATACACCTTGAAGTTTGAGTTAACATTTTAAAAATAACTTAATTCAGTATTTAAAAGAATACCAAACTATATGAAAATATATTTTTATCATTTAACCAAAGACAAGCCATCCATGTGTATTACGGAGGCAGGAGCTGTTAGGAAAAGCTAACTTTTTATTCCCTTAATCAAACCAACTCATCAATAATTTTGACTGAAAATATGATTCCTGCTATCAGCACTTTTAAAGAATTCAAAAGATTGTAAACTTTCAACCTCTTCATTTTATCTCATAGGAAAATTGGAGCATTAATAAAGTTGCACTTATATAACCAAGGTTATGTAACGAATGAATCAAAATAAAGTCTAAGGTGACTAATCCAAAATGATAAGGTATACACTAAAAAAGTTCTCTTTCTTTTGTTGAAAATATTTTTTGTTCTAAAGAAAACATTTTTATATGAAGGATTTAACCAAAACAGTGTACTGAATTGCAAAAACATAAATATTGAAAGTACCAAGGTGAAAAATATATATGACTTCCATTTAAAGTTTTATATATAAGCGGGGGGGGGGGGGGCAGACTAGAAAGGAGTCAATGGGGGGAAAAGGGAACATCTATAATACTTTCAATAAAGATATTTTTTAAAAGAAGTTCTGTATTTTAGAAGCAAATGAGAATTGTAAAGTACTATTTGATATGACTGTAAGCTGGAAGAAAAGCCTCTATTTTTTTTTATTAGGCATACTTTTTCCAATTACTTTTTTTTTTTTTCGAATTAAAGAGTCACATTTATTGCAATCCGGGACTATGAGGGGCCATTCCCAAATCTCATAGCAGCTATTTGGTCACAGTTCCAGGGTTATATAGGCAAAAAATCACAAAGGTATTGATTACATCTCAGGGTTTGGAATGAGGAACCTGGCTCACAAACTGTAAAAAGCAGATTACAGAAGCAGAATTAAGCATGTTAATTACAGTTTTGGGTCAGGGTCACTGAATTGACAGAAACACATCATCTGGGACCGCTGGGTTGACAGGAACGCATTATCTAGAGCCCTCGGGTCTTGAACCACTGAGTTGGCCGGAAGTCATTATCTAGAGCCATCGAGGCAATTTAGAGTAATTGCACTGTCCTGGTCTTAGGACCACTGAGTCAACTGGAACGCACCATCTGTGGCCACTAAAACAATTTAGGATCATTGTGTTGTCCTGTTTCCAGGTACAGAAGAATGTGCTCTCTAAAACCAGTAAGATAACAATCAATGGAATAGTCACGTCACAATCAATAAGGCATTCAATCAAATGGGATGACTTATACAATTTAGAAAATCAAAGTAACTTTTATATTGTTAAGCCAAACAACAGGTTTAGAGTTAAACTACAGTTTCCACCTGGAATGGTTGCTACCATACTTCAATTTCATTTTAATACACACATATATATACAGTTGAAGGTCAGCAATTCTCTTAGAGCAGGGATGATTGAAGGTTGGAGTCTCTATCTTTCATGCCCATAGGCCCACTCATGGTCCCCAAGGAGCCTTTGCTGAATTGAGATTCCTGGTTCTCTGTTCTGACACTGTCATGCGTGCTCCTCTATGTGCACTTCCCCTCATTGTGATAAGTCCACTTGGAGTCTGTGGCTCCTAATTAGACCTGGAGGTCAAGGCTGTATCAGCTTGTTTCCAAGAACCTTGCATTAGTGTTTGGCGAGAATTATATTTTCTTGTTGGATTGATCCCTTTATCATTATATAATCTTTTTGTCCCTTATTATAACCTTTGTTTTGAAATCTACTTTGTCTGATATAAGTATTGCTACTCCGGCTTTCTTTTACATTTCCACTTGCATGAAATATATTTTTCTATCCCTTTACTTTCAGTCTCTGTGTGTCTTTTGATCTGAAGTAGGCCTCTTGTAGACAGCATATGTATGGGTTTTGTTTTCACATCCATTCAGCTACCTTGTCTTTCAATTGGAACATTTAAGCCATTTACATATAAAGTGATTATTAATAGATATGTATTTATTGCCATTTTATTCTTTATAACTATGTCCCTTGTTGTGTTTTTTATTTCTTTTTTTAAAATTTTGTTTTATTGCTTAAAGTATTACAAAGAGTATTGTTATGCCCAGATTTCAAGATCCCCAAGAAACCACATCAGGGAGCCAGCCAATCCGATGCAAAAGCCTAAGAATCTGTATTTCAAGCTAGCTTGAGCTCCCCGTCCACCAGACTCACCGACACAATGACAAGCCAAGTGGCGAAGAGAGAGAACCCCGCCTAGAGACGGGTTTTAAAGGGGGGGTTGGAGTAAGGGGAGGAGAAAGGACTGTGCTCTGCCGATTGGCCAGGCGCAAGTCGATGTCTTGTTCCTGGGTGTGGCTAGCAGAGTCTTAGACTTCCGGGAAGAAGCTCCTTGCCAAGCATGTGGCCAAGGTAAGATGGAGGACGTAGCCCTTACCCTGGGGCAAGATGGAGGGCGTAGCCTTTACCCTGGGGCAAGGTGGAGGGCCTAGCCCTCGCCCTTTCAAGTATTACATATGTCTCCTTTTTTTCCCCCTTGACCTTCCCCCAGCCTCCCCTGTCGTGTATGACTCCCTCCACATTCTGCGTGGAGTAGGGTTCGGTATCTGAAAGAGGGGCCGCACACAAATGAGAGAGAAATGACACGAGATAATTTTGAAATATTGGGGGACCAGGTGGGCAAGTCCCGAAGGACTTCCACCGATGCTCAGGCCGCTCCAATCTTTTATTGAGCTTGGA